ATTTCCCCTAACTGCAATAAACCGATCCCCTCACCACCCAGCTCATCACAATGTTTTGCACCGTGCATTTCTTTTAACAGTTTAGTAAATCTTCTGAAATTGAAATGTTAATATTTAAATGGCAATTCTTCACAGATTATTGACTTAGCAGGAATTACTATATCTGTAAGACTGCAGACTAAAGTAGATAATAAAAAGATAATTAGGAGTCTTTGTAAAAGCAGAATAATCATGATTGTGTCCTTGTTTTAATTGCTGTGACAATGACTGAAGTATTCTATTGTCTGTTGTTTTAATTTTATTACCTCTTAATCTATTTCAGTTGCTGTGCATCTTGTTTACTCACATCAAATCTCTCTGCACTAGAAAGAGCAGTGGCAGTGTTAATGAACATCTTATAAACATTTCCATATGTCCACCAGCCCCCCCCCCCCCCCCCCCCACCCACCTAAGCCATTCATGTCTTGACCGCTAACTTGTTTTCAGGGTAATCTCTTAAGGTTTTATTTTCATATCTGAAGATCTCAACCACCTTGCATGACTTCTAAAAGGATGTTCTTCATGTTTCAAATGAATAGTTCCCTTTGCACATCATACTGTTCAACAGTCACATCTTTTATCTCTACAAGAAAATTAAGTTTCGTGATTATGTTAGCAATTAAGGAGCAAGCAATTATATACCCAGTGACTGTCTTGAAATCTTCTCATGAAATGCAAAATGGAGGTGTGGTGTTGTGTAATCTTATCCTTTTTTTTTGTTCTTTCCAATTTTTTCACAACATACCTTTTTTGTGTTTTGCACAGTCAAGTTTGACATCTCTTCTGTTAGTGTTTGGCAATTAATAAGCTTGTTGGGAAAGACTGATGTTATATGAAAGACTGAACCTGTATTCGGTCCGAAACACTGACCGTCCAGCGAATTGGGACGTCCTTCCGACGTGAAAGCCGCTACACAAATTTTATTTTGTTGTTGTATTGGTCCTGCCCCAGTGCAGTATAGAGATTATAGAGACTAACCCTTGCCTCTGTTGGGTAATTTTTGACTTGGCGTTTTGCAGTGTCCAGGAGCTTGCTATTTAAGGCACTTTTGTTGACATTGAGATTCAGAAAGTAAAACCCAGAACAATACCTTCAGATATGCTAAGGCAGGAAGGAGAACACAAGGACACAGGTTCAGGGTTGTGAGGAGATATGGTAGACTGGAACAGGCTGCCAGGAAGGATGGTTCAGGTCAGGACGCTGGATTCATTTAAGAAAGGGCTTTTTTGCTGTAAGAAGGGAAGCACGGTGTGTATTCTGGAAGGTTGAGATCAAATAGGTCGAATGGTCTTCAACCAAACCAATCTTATGATAAGGTGCATGTGGTGAAGCTGCATTATTAGAAAAAGCTCAATAATACAATACCAATAATGGGGGTGGGGGGGAGCACAAAGCTATACCATTAGCAACTGCTAGTAGAAGCACTTTGAGACATCTCGAAGACATGATAAGGCCCGATATCAAATGCAAGGATTATTATTATATTATTGGAGCAGTGATGATGAAATCCCACTCGGGTTGCTACAGATGATAATACAATGCAATGGAAGCACATCAACGGTGCATCAAAGCGTCAACTTTTAATTCAAGTAAATCGTGTCTTGTAATTGCTGTCCCACTTTTCTCATGAACCAGAATTCACCAAAGGAATACATTAGATTGATTTGTAGCTACGATCCCTATTGGGTGGGCAGGAGTCAAGTACAGCATTTGTTTCACAATCGGAGGACAAGAGTCTCTGGATAGGCACTCTCTCTCTCGCAATACTGGGACCTTTCTTTAATATGTAAATCTTCAGCTGTGCAAAATCATGTGCTTTTTGTTTTATGAAATTTCAGCCTGGGGCAGTGGTAATGATGCTTCTTCAGAGAATTGCAACCGAGAAGCAAGTGGTTTTGAGCGGAGTAGTATCACATGAACCCACGTCTTATCAACATGAAGAGCTGCACTGTAATTGATTTCTCATGATACACATTATTTTATTAAACCCGGATGACACGGGGAAAAAAAACAAACACTAAAGCGAAGTTCTGAACACTAATCCGTTTCGCAGCGGGGCCGAGATATGTGTGCATTTCAGCAATGCAAGGCCAGCCCAGTGGCACTGACATACTGCCTTTCTGAAGCTCCTGGGTAATACTAACAAGCAACCGGCCCAAACCATCCACATCCTTTACTAATCTAATTGGAATTCTTTCCCCCAATCCCCCTGCCTTGCCCTCTCCTTCCCTTCTTTTAGAAGAACCTTCCTATTCGACCGTGCTTACACTCGGCCTCAGGCTCCTCCACTCCTCTTAACACCAATCTAGAACGCACAGTAAATGACAAATTTCAAGTGCTCTGAGATGCTGCCCAGTGTAAAGGGCGCTATATAAATACAAGTTGTTGTTATTATCTGTTAAGATTTTAAAAGACCAAAACCAAAGCTTTCTCACCCCCTTCCCTCTTACCTTTGCCTGCGGGCTTAACAAGAGTGTTACCTGGTTACATGCAAGCAGTGGTGGTAACGCACAGATAACATATCCAAATCTGAAATGCTCCTAATATTGTTAAGACCATAAAACCATCTCAAAGGTGGCTTTTCAGAAGGTTTCACTAATGAATAGAGGTTATATTTTGGTTTTGAAGGCTGGATTTCAAAGGTAACTGATTTTATCATACATACAATTTTTTATTTTTTTATCTCCTTCGTAGAGAAACCTCGTCAAACAGACTGAACATAAAAACCTCTAGCATTGCGCTAGTCACCTGTTAATCTTGTTCAACCAAAGCAATTCATGAAGTGTTGAAATTCAAATGAGATTTTTTATGAAGAATCAAGTACTGGATAAATAAACAATTGTGCAAATGTGATAGGGATGTTTTTTATTTGGTCCATAGCTAGGCTGACACGAAGAGAGATGGGCTCCCCTTAAAATCTGTCATTTACTGTGCACTTTAGATTGCTGTTGGAGGAGTAACAATGAAGTTAAAGGATGATGATTATTAAAGAGATGGTATCTTTTTCTAATTTTACCCATCAATTTCAGATTGATGGTGAGCCTTGTTTTTTTTAATAACAGGCCTTCACAAAGTGTTTCCTGTTGATTCTTTTTGAAATGCAATTGCAGGGCAGCAAAATAAATGTTTGCAGTCCTATAAAAATGATGGTGAGCAATGTTCATAATTTCACAACCTTTAGCTAAATTATGAAATTCATCCGTTGTCCTATGAGTCAACTTGGGTACTATATGGTATCTTAAATAATGTAGCATGATTAATTTAAGTAGTACATCGAGGGAATTCAAATGACTAAAGTAGATTTTAGGTGCATTCGCTTATCGTCAAACACACCTGCAAGTTCATTATTGTTTTTTATGAGGTGAGATAGGACAGTAATCTAATAACGCATTACTCTGGAACTATTGCATTTAAGGAAATGGACCATAGCATGATTGTGCCTTTTAGAGTATCAATCACTTTTTTACAGCAAAGTAACAATCCAAGTATATTTGTCAAAATGGTATCCTTTAACGTAAAACCTTGTGAAGGAGGGAAGTCATCAGTTTAAAGGCCAGTTGGCTCAAACGTTCAGTTCACAAGGAGAGCTTTATTACAAACATCATATTGTCTTAATGTTTTGGCCAGGGTTGCCAATAGTGACGCCAATAGTTATCAGCTTCAAGGGGGCACCTGTTTTACCAGTTGTTTTTTTTCTTAGTCCCAACTGTACCGATTTGTAAAGGGATTTGAATTTGGATTAAGCAGACACCTGTCCTCAACAGCCAGCTTTTAGCCAGTCCCGGGCTGCGATTACAAAATGCAGGTTTTAGTATGATTTCCAGCTGTAAATTGTGACTGAAGACCATTAAATCGTCTTGAATTGTCTGGCACCACTCCAGTGCATCAGTCGGTCACATGTGCTCGGAATCTCTGTGAGCACTCAGCGATGCAAGTCAAAATGTTTCCTCACCTATGTCATTTTGTGGTCATTATTTTTTTCCTATATCCTGCATTTAGAAGAATGAGAAAATGCTGTGGCTCGCGCTCCACACTATCCTGATTGACAGTGTTGGACAAAGGCTTAGAGGAGGACAGGCCTGTTGTGTACAGCCGTACCTTCGAACAATAATAATCCTTGCATTTGACATAGCGCCTTATCAAGTTGTCGAGACGTCTCAAAGCGCTTCACTGCAAAGTAAATTCACTATATTTTGGGGGCAAAACGTGACAAACAGCAGTGTCCCACAAACAGTCGTTGATTGAGTGACCAAATTATTTATTATTAGTTATTTATTTATTTGATTTTGGAGGGATTATTACCCTTGGAAAGCGATCTGTCAATCGACTAACAACTGGGTTCCTACTTACTGCTAGGTAAACAGAGGTGCGCGGAGTAAGGAGACTTGCCTAAGGTTTCGCCCTGCCCGGGACCAAACCTAGCTTCTCTCACTTGCGAGCCGAGTGCTCTAAACAATATGCGACGGGATTCCTACAGTAACTGTAGTGACTGGTATTTTGTCGGTGAATGCAGTAGGTAATTTGTGCACAGCGGTGTCCCTCCCACAAACCGCCATGAAGTAAATGACCATTTTTTATCTAGTGGTTGGAGGGGTTTTAGTGGCCAGGACACTGGGAGAAACTCACTTCTGTTTTTGAGTTGTGCCATGGGATTTTAATACCCATCTGAACAGGCAAACAAACGGGAACTTTGATTTAACATCTCTATTTTTTCTATGTGCACTGCATTCTTCTGACAACATCAACTTGTACCACATTCTAACACACTCCCTAAACAGCAAACCAGTGCAAGAATGCTTTCCAATGTTTTGGTGCATTAACACCTAACCTTCTTATGTGTCATACTGTTTTGGATTTTTTTAAATGTAAGTTTGCTTTCATTTTGTTCCACGAAAAAAAATGCTATTTTGATTTTTTGCCCTGACTTGCCGCTAACAATAACAGTTTTATTTCACTCCTAGGTACTTGTGGCATGAGTGGATGAGTGCAACTATGAGTGTCTTGATGATTGAAGCCTTCTACGGAGGTTCCCACAAACAGCTGCTTGACCTACTTCAAGAGGAGATCGAGGGATGTGCTGTCTTCACCTTGGCAGCGAAGAAATGGCATTGGAGAGCACGCACTGCTGCACTTTACTTCATGGAGACGGTACCTCCCAGTGACAATTATAGGTAAGAGAGCGCAGGGAAGGGCGAAGTAGAGCTTGGGAGACGAGTCATAGCTCCCTCTCCCCCTCCCCATAACTTAATTGCTTTGTAAGTGGTTGTTATTTAGGTGGGGAAATCCCTATACAATGTTAAGGCTTTTATTGACTCAATTTTGCGTGTCAATATTATGCCAAATGTGGTGTCACACTGTTGCATTCTCCAACACCCTCCCAGTTCGAATCTTTCCATTGTGGAATGAGTATTAAAACGCGATGAAAGCTGTTGCTTTGCAACGTGCCGTTTGATTTAGAAACTGGAGAGAGCGTCATCGACCAGTTACGAGGAATTGTGATTACATTGAACATCCTGTCAGGCTGACTGAGCCTATTTCTGTGGCTTTTTATCAATTTGTTTTAATATAGTGAGTGCCAATGACATCATAGGGGAACTGGCTTGGAGGTTTATTGAGACTGACCTTGTCAGAGGCCTGAATTAATATATGCAGTGGAAATGACAAGATCACCGAAGACCCCTGGGTTAATGACTAAATCTCCACTGATGTTAATTTAGCCTCCACACGCTGTAGGGCTAAGTAATTCCTACAAGTTAGTTCCCCTGATGATGTAATGTGTAATCAGCGTTCCCTGTTTGGGTCGTTTTTGTGAAGAAAGAAGGCTTTACAGAAACGAGGAGGGTGGGTGGGGACAAGACCACAATTCTTTCCAATGCTTTCTGTGTTTCGCCAACAAAATATATGGGCACTTCACTTTATAGTATATTCTGTGGAGCACTTTGAGACGTCTTGAAGACGTGATGAGGTGCTATGTCAAGTGCAAGGATTATTGTTATTATTATTATTATTATATTCTGGCAATCGATTATGGACTTGCATAGAGTTACACAGAGTGATGGGGCACGGAAACAGACCATTCAGCCCAACCAGTCTGTGCCAGTGGTTATATTCTACAGAGCCTACCCACCTCCATCCCTCCTATTCCCTTCCCTTATATCCGTCGATTCCCTAATTATCAATTGTGACATATTCATTGGAGGTGTAATCCCTGTGGTTGTCATCACACATCAATAGCATGACAAGCACTGGCCGCCCAGTGTTTAACAGGAGAGAGAGAGAGAGAGACCCACTGAAAGACAGGCAAGTCTGATCCCTGACCTCCGCATTGTATATTTTGTTCCGAAAACGAAATGCAACTTCAAGGCTGTAATCACTTGTAGGTGCCATTGTTCTCCACATTTAGCTAATTCATTTATAAATCCAATATTGATGGTGACATTTGCTCTTTAAATTTCATTTTAGACTACTCTTTTCCAGGCACTTCTTATTAACCTACACCTGGAGCTAATTTAAGTTTACGTTATCCAGATGTGGCTCTCTGAGGAGTTAGAGGGCTTTTTTTTAGTTTATTTTATTGCAGTGCCTGAGTCCCATTTCATTTGTTAAGTTTGTTCTGGGAGTTCTATGAACATAGAAATTGTTCTGGGCTTCAGGAAGATTATTTAATTTTATTTAGTACCAGCCGGGATTACAGTAGGATCGGAAAACAGAAAACATTTTTTGCAGATGTTGCAACAGAAACGTCTCTTTGTTTAAAATAGATTTTAAAAGCTATGAAGGAAATTAGAGGAGGTGATGTGTTTGCATCATGTGAGTTTATTTTCTGTCCGTCACCCTTCCTGCCGACATCAAACATCAGAAAGGGAATTCGAACATCGCTTGCGTTCACTCTTTCTGCCCTACCTTGGATCACACAGATTGCCCTAAGGCAGAGGCAATCTGTTCCCAAGTCTTGGAAATGTTGTTTTAACTGATCATTGAGACACACACACACATGCAAGAGTGCCATGAGTTACCTTGCCATTCCATTTCCCCTCCCTCCCATTGATGAACTGCTCCTTACCCCCAATTCCCGGCTTTCCCCAGTGGCCTGGTTAAAATTAGGAACTAGTTGCCGTGCAGTCATGTCCTCTGCCTCTTTGATAGCCTGGCTTCCTGAGGTCCTGGGCAACAATCCTCTAGGTAAATTGGCCATTCGCGTCATGGCTTTTCACGGGGCCTTGTTGTGCACAGAACACTACTGCAATTGCCAGCAAACACACAGTTCACTATAATTTGCAATAACTCGCGAGCATTTAAGATGTTTCAATGTTACAGGACTGTGTCTCTGAGGGTTATTAAATTGAGACTTTCAGCTTCCAAGACGAGTTAAGGAAAGTGGGTTTGCAGTGTGTTGTGTGAGTGTGTATGTATAGGAAGTTTCTCCAAATCCCTCCACATGCATACAGACTCATACTGCACACTGCACACTACACACCCACACACGAACATCGTTCGTTTATAAAGTGAGATTCCAGCGCTGTAAAATGTTTATAGAAGCGACACGATGGGGATTTGTGGTGTGTTTCTGTAATTCAGCTAGCTGTGTCTGTTTTATACCACAGGTGTTATGTTTTCACATTGTGGCCTGTTAAAAATCCTCATGAATAGTTTCTTTAAGAAATTAATTTTATTAGTGGAGCAGAGCCCAAGGTGCTGGTTGCCTTGTACAGTGGGATAATGATCTGCTGCTTGACTCTGGCTACACGTTTTCAGTGTGACCAAGTGTGGGGGGTTGGGGGAGACATTCAAATAGTTTATGTTGATAGCCTTTGGAGACACTAATACATTTCAGTACATGTATTGGTTGCTGCAGCTGATGTGTGACTCACTGTGCATCGCAGAGCAGGCCCTGCTTTGTTTAAACTTAGCGCCTCTGTCACCCAAAAGTTCCCCCTGCAACACATGCGATTTCTTTCATCTGACCTCTTGAGCTACATCTATCCCACAGTCCCTTTGCCTCGCTTCCTCCCTTGCTTCCTTCAAGGCAAGTCTCAAGTCCCTCCTCTTCCACCTTCCCTGCCCTCCACCCTCCCTTATCCCAATTTCCCACTCCCACCCTGCTCGGATCCAAATCCCTAAATGTCCAGCGCCTTGGGATGTCCTCCCGACATGAAAGGCCCTATCCAAATGTAATTTTGTATTGTATTGTATCTGCATAGATGGCAATCTATGGCTCATAACCAGTATCCCCTCATAGACTTTCCCTCAAGTCCCTTTCACTTTTTAAGCAGGAGCTTTTCAGTTATGCGAGAGCATCTAACGTGCCAAATACTATTTCCAGGAGTGTTACATAAAACGCAGTGTGTGTTTCCAGTAAAACCCTCTGATCTGATCAAGTCATCTAATCCTACTGTAATGATAACCTACCATTATAATATTGTAATTCATAAAGCTTCCTTTCTCCATACCTTGTCAAATGGAGACAGAAGGAATGACTGGACAGCCATCGATGTGGGGATAATAATAACAATAATAATGTTTGAATTTGATGTTCAATACAATTTACATTTATGTAGTGCCTTTCATGTCAGGAGGACGTCTCAAAGTGCTTCAGACAGCTGTCTGGGAACTTGAGCTGGGGGAGAGGCTGGGAGGGAAAGTTAACCAAAAATGTGGTCGAAGAGGTAAGCCTTAAGGCATGCAGAATAAAGTTCCTTTCACGTCAGGAGGGGGGTCTCAGCAAGCTTCACTGATTCACTGTAAAGTGTAGTGACTGTGTGTCTTGTAAGAAATAATAGAACATGCAAGCTTGATTTTGTAAAGCTTTTGAGAAAAGTTGCCAATTTTTGCCAACCACAAAATGCACAGTCAATCCACTTCATAGTATATCTATTTTATAGTATAGTGTATGAAGCCCTTTGAGACGTCTCGACTACATAAGCCGCTATACAAAATGCAAGGGTTATTACTTTTTTAGCTACTTCCCCAGCCCAGGTCACTGAGTCCAATTGTGGCAAACCAACTATAATTGCCCTGGTTGAGAACAGTACAGGAGTATTATATACAGTTAAAGTTATCTAAAGTTTAAGTCAGGAGGGACCTTCTGGGTGTGTGAGTGCCTCGCATCTGCAGGAACAGTTGCTAGGAGGAATTTTCCCGTGTAGGATTGCACCAGCATTCTAATCGTGGAGGCTGAATGTCTTTCAAAGAATGTCTGTAGCAGGTAATACCGTTCCCAAAAATCCGCCCACATTCAACAACGTGACTCGCTTTTTCCTCCTCCTCCTCCCCTCCCCCTGTTGACTTCTTTCCTAAGGAGACCATGCACGAGATATTAAAAGCGATGAAAAAAATATTTTTTTGAAAAAAACAATGCGTTTCAATCCAAAATAATGACTCAAGCAGTTTTAGGTTGAATTGCAGGTTGTGAAACCTTGTCAAATGAGGTGGCAGCAACACAAGTGTAGGCCGGAGGGGAAATCCCTGCACTCCTAGCGCTGTGATCGCTTATCAATGCCCTGCCCAGAATTAGGAGGAATGGAATCAGTCTCATCCCATGTTTCCGTCAGATGTTAAGAACATTCCTTGCGTTTGATAATGCATCGAGACTTCTCGAAGCACTTCACAAGGGAAGTTGCTGTTGAGTGTCGATTGAGTGCATTTGAAGGCGAAATTTGAATGTGAAGTGGTATTAAGTAGAAATTGAGACCACGCTAATGGGCTGTGTATAGGTGTCAGCCTGGCTCAATTAGTAGCGCTCTCTCCTCTGACTCAGAAGGTTGTTGGTTCAAGCCTCCACGTCTGGCCTTAAGCTCCGAGTCTTCAGCTGACACTTGCTTGTAACGTCCTGCATTGTCGGAGGAGCTGTCCTTCAGATGCAACATTGACCCTAAGGTTTTGCCCTGCCTGGGAATCGATCCCAGGTTCTGTCACTTGCGGGCGAGTGCTCTAACTGTCACTTGCGGGCAGGACTCCACAGTAAATCCTGTGAAGCTCTTTGAGTCGTTTCGAAGAGTGTTCGAGTACAGTTTAGAAACTTCTTTGTACATTGACAGATTCCATGCTCTCTCTAGAGACCCTTTGCTGCTTGGAGTCACTTTGAGCTGCACAGGTACTGCACGCTTCATTCACCTCAGCCTTGGAAGCAGATTTGCAGTCGAGTAAGAACACATGGCACAAACCTTGCAAA